AACAATGCATTGTTTGTAGTAAGCAATAAATATGATCTATTTTTAGATCAGTTTTTTACACGTAAGCCCTCTTTTTAGCCAAGCAGATTTTTTTTTCTCAAAAGGTAGAAAACTCCTTCCTCGTGGTTCCAAACCTTAGCATACAAATTTACAATAAAATAAAATACATTTCTTTTTGTGCTTTGAGAGACTTATTGTCTTTAGATATTTCTTTAATGGCTTAATCGGCTGTGATTTATAAAAGTTGGAGTTGTCTTTTGGGGAATATTTCCCTCAAAATGACAGTCAATGTATGTTGTGTATATTTTATGTTCAGATAATCTGTAAAGATTGAAGATTAGTTTATTTATAACAGTTCTATTTATTCAAACCTTTTTCATGTTATAGAGATTTTATTTTGCAGTCTTCTATTAAATGGTGCATCATTCCTTGTTTCTTGAATAGCTATGAATACTAAAATAAAAAGGTTGGAATCAAGTCTTTTTTTTAAGCAGGAGAGATTTATCAAATTTATCCTTGAGGGAATTTTTAGTAACTTTGATACACTTCGTTATGTGTGTTTCAAATGTATTTTGGATAAAATTATAATTTTATATAATTTTTTTATTTGTTTATAATTTTGCAATTTAAGATGTATGATTGGTTATGCTGGGCTGCTCAGTGGCGCCGTGGGTAGCACTAGCATGCATGGATTCTCTCCAGGTACTCCGGCTTCCTCCCACAGTCCAAAAACAGGACTGTTAGGTTAATTGACTTGTCTAAATTCTCCTTAGGTGTGAGTGTGTTTGTTTGCCCTGCGATGGACTGGTGACCTGTCCAGGGTATACCCTGCCTCTCGCCCATTGACTGCTGGAGATAGGCACCAGCACCCCTCGTGATCCCACTTGGGATAAGCATCTCAGATGATGGATGGATGGATTTGTTATGCTGATAATATAAGAATAAACTCTGTGATTTTTATTAAAAAATGAATCTTAATCATGCAGGTTATTCAACTCTTCATCATTGATTAAAACTAAAACCTATTTTTTTTTTTATGTGTGCATTACTGAAGCACAATATCATCAATAATAAAAAATAAGTTTCCAGGAGTTCCTAACTAAAGTCCCACAGAGATACTTTCATAATTTTTAAGCAGGCTGAGGCATGCAGGAGAAAAAATCTTTACAAAAACAGGAAGACTATAAAACAGCATTGTTATTTCTCAAACCAGTCTTAAAGAGGAAAGTGCTTTTCAATAGCAACAATGTGTTTGTTTGTTTTAACACAAAGAACTTTTTTATTGAGCAACCTCTTTTTCCTTTGGTGAGAGTTTGATAGTTTCAGACAACATTAGGGTCCAGGCCCATTTAGAGAGGTTGTGTAATGATATTCTTACTATAAAGGTCCAATTTCCAAACAACTAAAGGCTTTGCAATGTAAAAACCCAAACTCTATCTTATGGGGAGCAGCCATGCAGGGGTGCTTAAAGCCGAAGGGTAACAATATATTCAAGTTTAAAATATGCAAAATAAAATAAGTATAGCAACAAGAAACATTTAGCCTCAGGAAAGATCAAAGACAGCATCAGTAATTGCTACCTGGGCTAGCTGATACTTCCTACCACCCTACCTCACTGGGTGAGAGAGCTGAATGCTTTGACAAGATCTCTCTGTTCTGTGAGCAGGAACTGTTTCAACTGTAAATCCAAGCGCTTCTGATATGAGATGTGTTGGGCATGGAATGATAAGGCAGAGCTGGGTCAGTACAGCTTGCCTAGCTTTGATAGGAGCACTGCAAAATATCAAAGGTCTGGGGGGAATGGTGGAATTTACTTTTTTTTTTAACAGCGTGCTATTTGTGACCCTTCTGAACTTCATCCAGCAGTTATTAATGATGCAAAACCTCAAGTACAGTGTTAAAATAATAAACATGGACCAAGATGAGATGGAATACTTAATTAGATGCTGAACAACTTTCCCGCAGACAGGTTTTCTTTCCTAACTTACGCCATCTAGATATATATAGATCTATATGGGATAATTTATAGATCATCTGTACTCTCTTTGAATAAAACAATACTTACCAAGCCCGTGCCTGTGTGTCGACATCGGGGGCATAGTTGACCAAACTTTGCTAATAGGATTATAGCATTCCACCATGTTGGACGTTTTAAGTCCATCCCTTCCTCCAACTACATAGAGCTTGTTGTCAATCACCGCAACCCCAAACTGTAGTCGACGCCCGTTCATTACTCCAACTTGGACCCAGGTGTTTGTTCGCAGGTCATACTTTTCAATAGTGGTGGATCCTGCAAAAAAGTTGGAGTAAAAAAAGAAGAAAAAAAACCCATTAAACAACCTATCTGTTTAGTTTTTTTTCTATTCTGACAGCTGATACGGGGTGTGAATGAGTGTTTGTATACCTTTGGTAGCATCCATCCCCCCCACTGCATAAAGTGCCCCTACAGTGGACTTCCTAGGTTTAGTTCTCGGGCTCTGAAACATGGGCCGTCGCTCAGGCAGTAAATGGTATTTCATGGCTTCCATCAGCAACTTTTGACATTCCAGATCATCAGAGAACATCTTGTTGTTTTCCAGATCTGCAAGAAGCTGGAATGAAAAGAACACCATTATTTATGGTAAAAGAAAAAACATCTGATCATTTTACATAAAACTCTTTGCAGCAAATGTATTATTTATTTTCTCAGAATTAAATCACAAAAAACACATTCAGTTTTGAAGAATTCTCAAACAGTTTGTAGAAACTGAGATACTTGTTAAATGTTGGTTTAAGAATTAGAAGTCAAATGTATAAATTTTTTTAGGCTATCTTGTAGACATTTAGCCATTTTTTGGTCTAGAAAGTAGCCACCCTGTATACTTAGAATAAGTTTAGCTTTTTGTTTTTTTAAAAGGCTTTGTGTTCAGGCTAGCTAAAGTGACCTTGTTGTGCTCTATTTATCATGCGTCTATAGTGAACTTGGATTCTAAATATATTTTGCCTGTGGTCTATAGCTCTGAACATGCCATAAAGAAATGATAGGAGTCAAAAAAGATGCCTTTAGTGACTGTCCTAACAAGAAAAGTTTGACTTTGTCTGATTTCCAACAATTTTGGTCCTAGCAAATTATACTTCTGTTTTATTTTGATTAACTTTTCTTAGATTTACTTCTTTCTGAAAATATGGGAAAGCAGCCCACCTATCCATAAGATTTAGTATTGGCAAAAAAGGGTCAAGTTTGTCTACATCATCTTATATTTAGATGTTTCCAAATGTCAAATGAATTGTAAATCTTTGAATAAACTAAGGCATGAAGGATCTACCATTTTTTACCAAAATAAAGATTGTATATACTCTATTCATGATTTAAACTTCTATCCCTACAGACTGTTTTGTTATTTATATTTAACTGTTTCTTTAGAATCAAGCACCCAGCTGTCCTTCCCATGGATGGCATGGGTCCATCAATTGGTTTCTTCAATATTGAACCCCGTTCAGACCATAGACCCACGAGCAGTAATATTGGAAGTCTGATAAATTAGTAATCATAATGGGTCAGGTGATCCCTGGTGATCCCTAAAATCATGTTCCCTCCTTATTCTCCCATTTAAAAAGTGTCCAGGATAGTTAAAGCATCCATCACATAATGTTACACATTGGTGTTTCAATGGTACTTAAATGTTTACAGCAGTCCATTTGAATTCTTACTCATTGTTATATTATTTAGCAATCTGTGGAAGGATCCACCTCGCTGGTTAATCGGTAGAATGTGGAGAGAAAACATTTAAATGTATGCTGACTTTGATTTTAACAAGGCCATTTATGTTCAGTAGAGTTGATTAATGCAACAGTGTCTTAACAGGTCTACCTCAACAAAATCATTATCACACATCTGCAGTTGATCCAGAATGCTGCTGCCCGAACCCTCACTAAAACTAAGAAAGTGGAGCACATCCTTCTCAGAAGTCATTATACAGGCTCCTCGTGTGTCAGAGAATAGACTTTAAAATCTCTGTTTTAGTCTATAAATCTCCTAAAACAAACTCCCAAAAGACTGTAAAAGAAACAAATCTTTAAGCTGACTTAAACCAGGATTACACATTCATTTGTATAGTTTATTTTAGTTGTGCTATTTAAGCATTTTTTGTAAAGCCATTATTTTTTTTATTATTATAAAATTTGCTTTTTTTCCCTCTGAAATATTATTATCCGTTAAGTATTTTAATACCACAGCAAAATATTTCACCATGTTTGTTTTCCTTTTTTGATTTTTTTGTTCATGCACAGCACTTGCCTTGCCTATTCCCATTATAATTACTGGTCTGAGCCATAGAGCTTCTTAAATGAAGTATTTTAACTGGAAGTTGGAGTGTTTTATTAATAAATTCTTGTTTTGTAGAGAGTAGTTACTTGTGTTTATTCTGGCTATGTCTAATGCTTGCTATTCCAGAATACATTTGCACCTCTATTTCTATTATTAACTGCCCCTGGAACTACTGGAAGTACTGAGTATTTCCAAATCAAACGTCTTGTTGCACAGTTGGGTCATACTTGGCTGGCTAATGGAGCATAGAGCCTGATTAAATAATCAGCCTGTCATATTTCTTGTTAGTTTTACAAACAAAAGAAAAAAATAAATAACAATTTACAAAATGTGCAGTTAAAAACTGCTTAATATGTGTTTTAAATATTTATGTTAATAAAATGAGAGGAAGCCAAATGTTTTGTATTGGTACTTAAGATCATCATAACATCAGGGTCATTTGTGTCTGACAGATTACGGGAGCAATAAAGCAATTATACGGAGAGTGAAAAAAAAACTCACTTTTAGTTCAAACTTAGAACGTTAACTAGAGGAACAGAGTAAAAAGACACTGTCCTTACAATAATAATTTCCTCTTTCCTCTCACCTGTGGAGGAAGAAGAGGCAGGCGGATGTAAGCCAGTAACACTCCAAGGTCCTGCTGTCGATGTTGGACATCAAATCTCACCCACATCATCAAAGCCTGAAAAATTGTTTCTTCATCTGGAACGTTGATGTCATCACTGGAGAGTAGCTTAACAATCTCCGCTGTGGGGAGCAGCAGGAACTCCTGGTTCTGAATGACCTCCAGGAAGTGCTCCTGGAACAGAAAGGAGACACAGAGGAGACAGATAATCATCAGTTATTAGCCGAGGAGTTCGCTCACGGCAGCAGAGTGTGTGCTCGTATTAGAGTGTATCAGTGTGTGTGTGCTGGCATTTCAAAGGGTATGACGATCAAGTATTACAAGGACAGAGAGGAGAAGAAAAATTCAATAAATCCAGGTGGATCATACTATTTCATTTCTATCAGGTAATTATATTTTTTCTTAACTAAAACAATCATCATTCATTTATTATCAGTCTTTAGGAAAGTTACACAAAACATTATGTTGATTAAACATGATACCCTAAAGCCTCTTAAATCCTTTTTATGAGAAACATACACATTTTTATTTTGCAAATGCTGAGATAAGCTCAAAGCTTGCCGAATTCTTCTTCCATTTGCCTTTCTGGAGATTAATCTTCCATCTGTTGGCCAGTGGCCCAGCCAATATGACAGCACTGCATGGCTACATCTTCAAGGTCTTTGTCTCTAGGCATTTCCATTATGATATACAGTAGAAAAGGCTCTCCTCCCTTTGTAGATCCATACTGCATCCAGCATTTGAGTGCTTAAAGGACAAACTGAGCAGTCTTTGGCAGCAAGCACGTCTTGTTTATTCCGAAAACAAAGCAGCTGAACATTAATTACCATGCTGCCACAGCAACTTTGTGCTCACTTTAGAATGGATACCCTTAAATTAAAAAGAACAACCAAGCTATTGATCATTAACTTGCAACAAATTACAGTTTCTTGATCCAATCTTTATGAGAGCAGGTTTTAAAGGCTTAGCACACTGAGGCTTAATGAAATGAGGAGCATCTATCGATCTGTGGTGGTAAAGCTGAGGGAAAGAGTTCAGTAAAGTCTTTGATGCTACTTTAGATCAGCTATTCCTGCCCAGTAGGTTTAACAAAGGTGAATATAAAACTGAAAACTTATACAAGTTTGTTTCTTGATCAGTTAAAAGGCTGTGTCCTTATTTCCAACATTTCGTTATCTTTCAGGGAAATAAGATCTGCGAGAAACATTAGTTTCTTCTTTCTCTACACTGTAAAAAAGGACTGTACACTGTAAAAAAAACGACTTGTTCAACAACAGAAATTATTTGGCCATTAAGAAAGAATATTTACCAAGATTTTTTGAATTAATAATATTTTGTAAAGTTTGTTACATAAAGAAAGCGCTCTTAAGTCAAAATAAAAGTAGTTTTTTTTATTGTTGGTAAGAAAAAAATTATCTGAAGGGTACTAAACATCAATAATTTGATTTCGGTATACAGGAAGGGAACAATCTGATTAATCAGGATAATTAGGAAAATAACAATGATTGTTTTTTTTTTTAAATAGTTTGTCGTATTATAACTACAAACTTTAATATTTTTGTTTACCTATATACAAAGTATTGCATAACTGTGAAGTGGAGGATAAGCAATACAACAAAGCTTGATGCAGTTATCCCTCTAGGTTGATAGTTTAAAGCATCTCCTTTTGCTGTATTTAAACCTGCACCTCTCTAGGTGTTTGTCTTCTCATGTCACCCATCAAAATAATTGACTTCTCTATTTATTTAATGTTTTTTTTTTTGTGCATGGCTGTCCACATCAATTTCCAAGTGTTCCCACAGGTTCTCAGTATGAATTAGATACACATCATTTCATCACATGAAGCTACACTGTAGCCCTGGGTGTATGTTTAGAACTATTGTTCTGCTGGAAGGTGAACCACAGATCCAATCTAAAGTCTTTTCTAAGCTCCTTGTAGGTCTTCTCCTGGGACTGCTCTATATTTAGATACTCTTTTCATCACCTCTGGCCAACTTCCCTGTCCTATTGAAGAAAACCCTAAAGTAAACATGATCATGCAACAGCTATGTCCTGGAAAAGATGTTTAAAATATGGGCTACTGTAATCTTCTGAAAATTTTGGTCACATTTAACCAAATCTATTATTTACACGTTGCCTGATTCCTATTAGCCGAGCAGAATCATGCAAACTGCAAAGTATTTTCTTTAAAGAACAAAGCAATATCTCCAGTCCTCCAAAAAAGGAGATTTGTGAAGCAGACAACTGATAGCTGTCCAATGGTCAAATAATCTCTCCTAAAAGGTGCACCTCTGCAGCCCCTCCAGAGTTATTATGGGCCTCTTGATTGTTTCTCTAGTTTAAAGTCATGTTTGTTTAAGGTGTTTTAATTGGTAATAACAACGCCATTGATGCTAAGGAATAAGTCCTCCCACTGCAACAGTCAGCAGAGTTTTTGTTGGTGGTTAAAAGTGTGACTTTCAGTGTAACGACTAATTATCCAATTCACCAATTTTGTGTATTTTTAACCTGCTCATGCTATACTCCCCATGCACCTATATAGCTACACAGTTCATAGAGTGGCATATGGTATAGTGTGGTTATTGGGATCTAAGCGGGCAAAAAGGTTTTAACGTTTATTGAAAGACTATTTTCATTTTCCATATAACATTTTAATGTTTGTTTGGGTTTTAATAATGTAATCGTGTGTCATCTAAAGATAAAAATAGCATCATTGGCACTAACCATGTGCACATTCCAAAACTGCATGTAGGAATTAATAGGTGGAGAAAATATATGTTGTTTTTTTAACTATGACCATGTAAATCTACTAACAAATACTTGCATATAATGTTAGTTTTATTGTGTACTTGTGAACATATTTTAAATTGGTTTGTAGTCAGTGATTCAACTGTATAAGATAACTTTTATCTGGAAGTGAGTATTTTGAATAGACGATGTTACTTTATGAAGATTAGATGATCAGAGGTACCAGGTTCTTAAGAGGAGTAAAAGTACATAGAATTTTTACAGGAGTATGGAAGGATGCAGAGGGTTTGGTGTGACTGAGAAAGATGCTGAAATTGGTTAAATGAACTGCAGAGAACCACAAAGACAGCAGCCAAAAAATATGATTTAAACTTTACAGTAGATTCCACTGAAAAAACACATACCTCCCAAAGATTAAAACTATCATATGACATGTGAATTGGTGCTCATATAAATAAACTGAATCTTGGTATGTTGATGCATTTTTTTTCCTGCATCTTTTTTTAAAAGTGGAGCATCTTTATTTATAGAAAGTTTAAAAATATTGCCTATTTCCAGTTACAGAAATGCACTAAAGGGACTCTCTTTTGCTTATACAAAAATAAGAAAGTAATAAAAAATTTGATTACAAACTTTTTACTTTTATTTTGGAAACACCTTCTTCTCATAACTTTAATTGCAGAGAAATAAAATGTTATTACAATAGCTGCACTTATACTTCACACCACTAAATAGGGCCAACTACCGTATAGTTGTGACCAGGGTCTTTATTTATAAGACTTGACTACTCACAAAACTGGGCTTGAAATTTGCATACACTGGCATTCACACAAATGTTATGATGTATAAAAAAAAACATTTGCTATGAAAATATGTGGTCCCTCATTCCAATTACAATCCATGAGGTAATTTAATTTCAGTTCATATAATACTCAAATGTTAGATCACCTTATCAGATTTCAGAATTGCAGTGTGATATATGCTGACACTGCTGAGCCGACCTGCTACACAAATAGAAAGCAGCAGCACTTACCATCTGGTGTGCCACTTTTAACAACGGCGCATGCCACAGGCTAATTACTTTTAAAACTGGCATGCCATTTTTATGGCGAACTTATGCCACCTTTAAAACCGGGATGCCAGTCTTGAAAGTCGCATGCCAATTTCGTCAAATGCCTTCCATAGGTGCTAAATCTAATATTCTGGTTTTAATGCCAAGATAAATTTTTGTACATGCATATCTTATATGTTGATGTATAAGGTTGTAACATAGTTTTTATGTATGTGTCAGACAAAAAAGCTAAATATTAATACCACCAAATCTTTACCTTAGTTGTGTCTTTGAGTATGAATGAGTGTTCTTCACAAGCAGCAGCCTTATATCAATATTACAGTAAGCAGTTGATATTAGAGATTTGCTAAGGATTAGCCTAGCCAAAGCATTCAAGATAACTTAATCGAATGCAGAGCTCTGCGTTTCCTTTTACGGTTGCAGACAACAGACATATACTGGCAACTGAAATTTTTCTGGAATATAAGTGGCATACCACATTAAATGACATTTAACCCTGTTTTACTGGCAACACAGTTTTATCTGATGGAGTATTCCACTGTTTTACTATAAGCCACCAAATAGAAATAACTGTATACACTAGCGCTGAAACAACTAATCAAATTAATTGTGATTAATCGATTATTGAAATAATGCTCCACTATTTTAGTAATCGATTAATCATTTACTGGAGTATAGACTGTAACATGGGCCTTTAGCTGATACAGCTACCTGCTTAGAGCAGTAATTATACCAAGATTGTAAAAATAGATAAATAAATATTTTGCATGTAAGATTAAAAACTTTCTCGTCTACCAATATTCTATATCCGGAGCTCCTGAAGTGGAAAAGTTTGAGTTTCATCTGGTTTAGTGCCGTAAAGTTTTCTTTCAGGAATCTTTGTGTATCTGATTATTAGTCGATTTATCGAAAAAATAATTGACAGATTAATCAATTTGAAAAATAATCGTTAGTTGCAGTTAATATACACACATTTGTTTCAAAACTAGAGCTACTAAGTAACTCTAGCTCAGGTGAAAGTCCATCTGCTCTCTGTTCCTCATAATTGTGATGCTTATTAGAGTAAAACGCCACATCTTGCCATGCTGGGTTGGTAGAAAATCAGTTACAGTTACAGTTGTCCCACTCTACGTCAGTATTCAGGTTTAATCATTCCAGGCTCCAACTTTCTGCTTGCCTTGTCCCCCAGTTGGAGCCTTTTTGGAGGTTCTTAGTTGAATGAATGAGGCAAGCTGACAGCCATGACCTAAACAGTCATGCTGGCCATTAAAGGACAGACAAACTGCCAGTCTGTATCTGTGCAGATAGTTCATGGGATGGTGCCATATTCAACAAATACCAATCTTATCACCTCTCTTTAGCCTGGTTATAGTGCAGCTGGTTGTGATTATATAAATACATGTATGAAAACCCCCTCAAGTGAACAGTATTGCTACTTTTTCCATGAGGTCTATGGTTATTCAGAAAACATAGAAGGGTTTCAGACAATTTTGGTATCATACCAATAAAAAAAAAGATTCTCTCACTTATACCACCTTTCTGCTTTGCTTCATCTTTCTCTTTTCTAATTTCTCCCACTGCTCACATGAGCAGCACACTGGATCTCTGGCAGTTTTACATGATGATAAAAATCAATACAGTGTATGGAAAAGCAGCAGCCTAGCCAGAAAATTTTTTTTTATGTAGAGCATTATGTCAAGTTATACTTTGGCTCTGGTTTTACAAATAGGAAAATCTTTTGCCACACCAGCATCAAATTGGGCAGTATGTCAAAGTGGACGACAAAGTGGTTGCTGTTTGGGGGAGTTGGTCGGCCGTCATACGCTGGTCTGAGCTTGAAGCTTTCTTTCTGAAACGGGTTGTTGAATGATGACTTCATTCTCGTAATATTACAACTTCATTCTCATAATGCTATGATTTTATTCTCGTAATATTACAACTTTATTCTCTTAATGTTATCACTTTAATCTTGCAATATTACAACTTTATTCTCTTAATGTTACAAATTTATTCTCAAAATAAAAAAATAAAAAATCTCTAACCCGGCCCTAATACTCTGTGGTAGAGACCAATGTGCACCGAGGTGTGGCCAAAAGCAGATAGGCGCCAGAACCTCAGGGTCAACCTACACTGTTCCAACAGAAAAACGAAAAAGCACCTTGCCCGTATTTTCTGAATAAAAATGAACTCTATTTTCCTAAAGCCTTATGCTAATAAATAAACACATATATTTACACACCCATGCTGTCTAAATTAAAGGTATGGTTATGGTTATCTTTCAGCATTGAGTTCTGGTGGACATTTATTTATTGTCATTTCTTACCTGCATTTCCGAAAAAAAAATGTCCACCATACTTTAATCAATACTTGTTCTAAATAGAATAGATTTTTACATAAACTTATACCATATTAAATTGATTTAGTTGTTAATTATCTAAAATCATATTGAAGACTCTTAGATGATTGCAGGCACAAATAACTTTCCCTTCTCTCCAATAAAACAGGAAAAAAAAACGTCTAAAAGATCACAAGTTCTGTATTATCATCTTTAATGTAAGCATAGTACTTAGAGTGATTAACTACTGTCATATTGTTTTCAGTTTGATATTGATATACAAAAAATTAAAAAGTAGAATTAGTTAGAACATTCCATATAAGAATTTCACTGTTGTCACCCTCTGTTTGAATGGGAACTACTTGTAAATTATGGCTACATCAGCTGGTAGGGGTGGGCATAGAGGTGGCCAATGATTGGCTAAGGCTGGCTGAGGACACCCCTGGCCCCCAATCTAGCCCCACCCCTGGGAAGCAGGTGTTGATTTTGTTCTTAACTTGAAAACTAAGTCCAGGGAATTGCTTTTTAACTTCTTTGGAATGACTATGGTCTGGATGACTAAGAATCTTTCCCAGCAAGTTGATTTTGTATTATGTCATGGTTTGTAATTGCTGTATTTTTTTTTTTATTATTATTATTATTTATTTATTTTTTTTAATTTAAAATACATACATATGTCAAGGGAGCTGTTAGAGAGTTGGGCAACCATCAGGGCCCTTAGTTGGTGAGGCCCTTGTGCTAAAAGGGGTCCCCCAGTAGATGCCTTCTTTGCCTATATCGTAATTCAGCCCCTGATTTCCAGCCTTAGGGAGTAAAAGTTGTCTGTGTCATATGATATGATAAGGGCTACAAAGGCAGCTGATTGCATTTTTGTTTTAGATAATGGAGTACAGGGTATTTAGATACACGTTACAATAACCATTTATTATGGTAAAGAGACCATTGATTAATGATTAACATATTGTTTATTCATTTGTGATTCATTTATAAACTGCATCTAAACCATTTATAAAAGGTTGATAGATTCTTTATTAAGGTAATAAGCCCACTGAGCTTAGGGTAAGGGAAATTCCAACATGACAGGGTAAGTTAAATTAAAGATAAAGGTTAAGTCCAGGTTTTACTGATATTAGTGTTAAGAATATACTAACATGGCAGGGCAATATGGTCTATTTATCTTTTATAATGTGAGGAACTTAAGAAGTAATAATACTAATACTTTTGCATAAAATGAGAATATTATAATTTGAGTTGATTACAAAAACAAAATGCTCATGGTATGCTCTAAAAAAAGGATTAGTTTTAAATAGAATTTAGCAATACATTTGTACATTTTCTACCATGAATTACAGTTGTGTCATAAAGGAAAGATGTTAGAAGCTTGGCTGTCTTTACTTAAACACGAAAACCTATCTTATCATTGGATCTACTCAAAATGCGGCGGATGGTGTAACCAGGAAGGCCACAGCCCTCGCTGCTCATTACTGAAGTGATTGAACAGGAAGCTGGACCTCTTGTGCAGTTTGATGATTAGATTAACCTCCTGGTCTCAGATGGAAGCTATGTAAACCGAGTGAGCAGATGTCCTTTAGCAGATAACGCCTGCATCACTCTGTCACTTCTGCACGGCTGGAGAAAAAATGATATGTGGTTGAATCCTAATCCAGGGCAAATTTTCTTGCAGAACGAGATGGAAATAACTCAAACAGCGGAGCAGCTCTGACAGCATACAACTCAATTATGTAAAGTTAAAGCGTGAAATTATTCAGTTTCTATTATAATCCCATATCCAAATATAATCATCTTAAATTATAAGATGTAAATAAGAGAGGTACTGGATTTCACTCCCTTACAGCAAATAACTACATGTTCAAATAAGCCCATCTATACCCAAATCATTTCCCTAATTAATTATCTTTACAGAATTGATTTATTTATAAAAAAGACATATTCAAAAACTACAGAATCTATATGTACAATAAAAAAGAAATTTCTACTGAAAGGTGCATAAAATCACAAATAATGTGGTAGACACTAGAGTTAATTTTGAAAATAAACTAAATGTTTCGTTTAATTTTAACTTTGGTTTATGTTTTTTTTACTGTTTTATATGTCAATGTGAAACTCTGCAGTTAAGAACGTTACGAAAAAAAGAATTAATTTACTTTAAGGCATAAATGATAGTCGGCTCTGTTTACTGTCCTACCATGGTGTAGTTATGAGCCACATTCAGCAGGTCCATGCAGCCCTGGGCATCCGCAAACGATCGTATTCCAAGGCAATTGGAAGGATGAAGCTGCTTCATGAGGAAGCTGCAGCAGACCTGGATGACTTGTGAAAGCTGGAGGAGGCATGCTGCCGCCAATAAACTCTCAATGGTTTCCTCTTTCAGCTCAAGGACACCTGTAATGTGGAAAATGAGTGTAATAGTTTGTCATGACAGAATCTTTTCTGAATAGAAAATACTAGTGAAAGCATTTTAAACTCAACAGGCACAAAACCTGATCATTCCAAATGCAGTTTCAGCAGATATTTGCAGATCGTGTATGATTTTCCACTGCCTGATTAGGATAAGTTAAGATCAGAAACATGTTTTTAATTACTAAAGACCATAACCATGACAGGAAATGTTCATTTCCTGAAGAGGTTTGCATCCACTTCAAGTTGAATAATCATGCTTTTATAAGGTTTTGATAAAATTTTACCTAAATGGATGTACATCTAATGCAGCACATCAATTATACAGTTTTATTTTTTGAGGATATAAGACAATTTAAAATAATACAAATTTCTTTGAATCTAGACAAGCTTACAAATAGATTACCTAACTGGTTTACACATGTTAAACTGCTAAACATGTTGATAGAAAGGATATGAATACAAAGGAAATGCTGATAAGATATGAATTTGAAGAAGGTTTAAGAATTAACATAATTTTTTCAGTTAGCAAATAGTAGACATTTGCAAATCTGAACTGACATTTTAATAGGAGATTTAGTAAGGGTTTAGTTTTTGGCCTGGATTAATGCAGGATCATTGAGATAAAAAGGTGATGAGTCGTGTTTATATTTGTAAATATCAGAATTTTTTATTTGATTCTAACGTTTTTGACACGTATTTTCACTTGAAATAATGATACATTTCAAAAAAGCATGCTAAATTGTGTCAATACAATGCAAAAGTTATATCTTACACATTTCCCATAAAAAAAGAGAAAAAAAGACTAATAAATCAATTATGCCAGGATTGGTTAAATAACATACTGTAAGAAAATGTATCCGTATCTGTTAAAAAAGAGAATTTATGTTTGTGTAGCAGTTCTGAAGGCGAGAAATAAACAATAAAAAACATCCAGTTTTGAGTCTGCAGACAATCACCTTAAGTCAAGTCACAGCATTGTGATGTTGGTTTTCTTTTTTTCCTGTTGAAAAACTACACTATCTACATATTACACATGATCTGTTAAATAACATGTTATTAATGTTAAAATTCTTCTCACTTGTATGCCCGATGATGGATTGACTTATTAATCTGTTTTAATCATGCAAAATTACAGAGGTCTCATAAAAAAATTTAAAAAAGGCCAGTGAACTACTTTATAGGCACTCACCAGTATAGGCAAAATGAACCAGAGATCTGAGCGCCTCGGGATCCACTCCCTCCATCTTTATCTCCTCTTGCTTTGCTTCCCTCACATCACTGGTAAACATAGCAGCAAAGTAGTCCGAAACCGCACTTAAGACAAGTCTGCCATTAAGGGGGAAAGAATGCATTAAGCATGCTATTTTTCAAAGGATTATGTCAGGTCAGTTTCAATTCAATGAAGTACCATTTCACAAAATATGTTTCAGTACACTTTGTAAAACAAAGTCAGATCAATTGAATCACACTGTGAGATGATCCTAGTTATCAAACAGTGCAGTTGAGTTACATTTTTCATTCAAACATGTTAAAGAAGTGTTCTTGTTAAGTAAAACCAACAGGTTGCATCGAATCATTGACTGGCAGCATTCATTCCTCTGGATGATTATAAAATGGGAATAGGATAGGATATAAATTTAAGACGTTTTTCTTGTAACCAATAAAAATGGACGCCAATATTTTGCGTTTATCATATTATGCTGCTTAAGTAAATAATATATAAAAAGTATAAAAAACTCAAAATGTATAAAAAAACTAGCTAATCTCAGAGTTGTCCTGCTGTGATGATGCAACTTGGGTGATTTTACACCTTTCTAAGTCACTAAAGACATGACCTTTACTTATGTCAGTCTACTTTGTCTATGAGTGATTACATTGTAATATCCCAACAGCGATCTTTATTTCTATAGTTAGATGTAAGGCATTGCAATAGTATTCAGCTGAAGTTTTCCACATTTTGTCACCAGTGTGTGTCTTCAGTCAACTGAATTTGGATTTTATGTAAAATGTGAACATGTAAAAGGAAAAATCATCCATCCATCCATCCATCCATCCATCCATCCATCCATCCATCCATCCATCCATCCATCCATCCATCCATCCATACACTGTCCTATAAGGTCAGATAGCAGTAGTATGCTTTTCTTCATCCGGTCAGCAATGATGAAAAGATGAGTTGGTTTAATACATCACTAAGCAAACAGATGGAGCAAACACTAAATGGTTTAATTCACACATAAATATAATCCAAAGGCCACTTCATATCCAATTTTGAATTTATGGCTAGACTTAAAAAGAAATCCCTTCGACAGTTGCTCTATATCCTGTCTGACTTAACCTGAGGTGTTTTGCTCTTAGAGACACACATCGAAACACATGTACCGGTATATTTAACTGCAGCTAAAGATGGTTCTTTGAATTACTGAATGTCGAGATAAAAAAAAAGTTAAACCCAAAAGTTTTCCAATTTTTTTTTAAACATGTATCCCTCTGAATCCATTTTAGAATTATGCAATTTGTGGTGCTGTTCTATTACATAAAATCCCAATAAAAGTAGTCTGTGGTTATAACGTCTCAAAACAGAAAAAAAGTGGTAAGAGCAAGTTTGTAAAGTGCTGTATTCATATTGACAGCAAGACCTTTATGTCCATACATTTTCATTAAAATCAGTTGGAAAGTTTAGATGACATTTCAATAAACTGTAGCCTCTGGCAAAAATTTTTTTGATTCCTAAATTGTATCTTGACATTTATGCTGCTTTGAGCGCAAAAAATAGTGAACTGATGCTGAAAATAAGTAGCAGAGGAGGCTGTTTTTGACTGGATGAGCATTCAAAATATGATTTGGCATTTAGGCTAATCCGCTCAGGGAGAGGTCTATACCATTCAGGGGGCATATGATCTGTTCACTTCAGTTACTACAAATGCAGCCAGCCGACTTGGACCCACTGGACAAATATTGACAATCCTGTGGAGTCGAACATAGTTTTCCTTTGCACCAGACCAAACATCAATTGGCAGAAGTCGTACTCAGATCAGAGCAGCATATAGATGTTAAGACAAGCCTTTGAACAAGTAGTTTGCATGTTAGTTAGGTAAGGATCCACCACAAAAATCAAGTGGTTGATTAGAACTGATTAAAACTGGCTATTTATTTTCCAAGTGAACACACCATACCAAGTATCCCCTACCTGCAAAATGAATCATTATGCCATTCGTCAAAGCGGATAAATGAAAATAAGGGGTTAAAATGATTATTTAAAGGCATAAATTCTAAAGTTAGCCTTTGATCGGTGTATTTATACATTATTTATATATGCATGCCATTTCAAACTCATTGAGTTAATCCTTGGAATTACTAAATGTGTTGCAATCCAAGATCCAAATCAAAGCCTTAACGCCTCAGCCACTAATTTAATGAACCTCACAGACAGGACTGATTCACCTCTAATCTATTGGAGATGCAAGACTAATTAATGAAATGAAAGCAGGCAGAGGCACAAACACCAACCTATGAGCCGGTATCTTGTGATCTCCTGCTATCAACAGGACGTCACACAGCTGCTTGTGCTGGAGGTAGGTCTCCATTTTACGGAACGTCTGCTCTGCATGATTTGTGGCCTGGAAAAATTCGTCGGAGGAGTTGGTGGTCATTCTGGACAAATTGCTCAGAACCAACCTGGTGAGAACGAGACAGAAACGAGGCAGACATTCATCACACCAGACTTGCTAGTTTTTTTTTTCTGAAATTGGGTTAAATGTAGGGAAAAACCAAGAAGATAGAATATTGATATGAATAGACATTATAAAAAAGAGAAATAATAAATACATTTGTAATTTCAAGCATTTTAAGATCCTGCCTGAGTATAAACAAGGAGCCGGTAGCTGTACACATTTAGATAAAACAAAAAGAAGCTTATTAGGCACGTGACACCTTTGAATCCTTTTCCCTGCAGGACAAGTCTGTCTTTCTTGCCACACTAAGCTGAAACTAAATCTGTTATGTATAAACTCTGTACATGAGCAGATAGCTAAGTGCATCTTCCAATAAGAAGATAACTGCATTATATTTGCACAAGCAACCTGACAGAATAAAATATATATATATATTTGTCATTCCCATGTACATCTGCAACATTTTTGTATGCATCTGCCTCTCCCACGGAAAACAGCATCTTAACAAGTAAACCAGTCTGTTTCATGCAGCATTATGGCAAGGCTGAAAGCCTCAGTCCCCAAAGGCTGCTAGATTACACGCTGTTTTGCAGAAATCTGAGTAATCCCTCACACTCATGGAAAATAATCCAACCCCGTCACTCTGGTGTCCTTCACAGAGAAAGTGTTTTCATTGACATTTCAGGTTGTTTGCTAAACTACATAACCAAACAAGCTGTCTCTCATGGAGTATTTATGTCACAGGAGTTCTGCTATTCACGGACAGATACTGCCAAAGGGGAAAAAAAATGAAGTGTAACTATTTAAGCAGCAAATTGCACCAGTATTTATATCACTCATGCTCTGATATGAAAAATGCTTTAAGTGGTTAAATTACTGATTTGTCAATACAAATAAACCGCAAATCCATAGTGTGATGCTTGGCAGCAAAATGTATTGGCACACTCACAGATTTATAAGGCAGCAAAGATGGAGCGGGTAATGGCTCTTATTGATGCCCTTTTTAACATGCTGTCTAAAAGTTTTTCACCAAACATCAAACATTTTTTTTGTTTGTTTACTAAAGGCAATGATATTGTCCCATGGGAATGTTTAATCTTGTTCTGCAGTCATTGCAGTATCCTATAGTCTAATCTTTATTCAGTGGCTTTATGCTAAATCCAAAAATAATTTATCGGCCTGTCTGTGTATTCCCCACTGACTCTGGAGTCTCGCAAAGGAACACCAAACAAGACTGAATAAGCAATAGGGCCATAAAACTGAGATCCATTGCTTTTCTATTGGCTCCAAGGCATGCTGTAAGGGTTTTTCATGCCTACCAATCTCTCCGACACTAATTGCTTCGGTACCACATTCAGGGGAGCCGTAAATTTGCGCCGAGGTGTATATTGTGCTCCTAGTAGTGGGCTGCTCATCAGAGGTATAGCCCAATTTTATTAAGGTACTAAAACCTCGAAACAACTTGCAAAAGAGTAACTGCTGTGGGGACAGTGTTTCTCAAGAACATAACCATATTACTAAGCAATTCCCAGGAAAGATGAGAACCCATAAAAAGATAACTTTCTATTTATTAGTAAAAAGGGGTAAATTAATAGATCTGAATAATATAAACCAAATAGAAGACTTACTTTTTTTTTTTATCACACATTATCTAAGAGCAGATTTTATGCAAACAGCGAATGTCACCTGAAAACCTGCCATTTGGTCTCCACACCTTTTAGAGATTTCTCACCTCAATGAAACTAATTTCCACAGAGATGCTGAAGTGCTGAGATGCTGCTTATCTGAGGCGATGCAAGTGAGGGAGATACTGTGCAGTATTTTACACTTTCCGAAGATGAGAAGCCTTTTTAAACAATGCTTGGCAAAATCAGCATATGCTAATTCTACCACAAGATTTAAATAAATCCAAAGCAAAGGAAAAAAAACATAACAGTGAATTGAGACCTTGTTGGTTTTATGATCTAATATGTTCCTTTTAAAGCCATGACTGCTGTAAATGTTGAAGCCGTTGCTAAAAATCCCAGTCATGTACCAGCTCCATCCTTCTACATCAGGGAAAGTCGTGCCTGGCAAGGCCAAATGGGAAATGTATCTTTCAAAATGGATTACAACAGCTTTTTTCCCCTGAAGCCTGCTAAGCAGCTTCAACTGGTTTGAGAATCCAAAAATTCCTAAAGAACTTCTTGCATCTTGTGCCAAGTCTGTCTCTTTCATGAGATCTTTCAGCCTCTGTTCTTTGACAGTCACTGTTCTGCCACTGGGCTTTGCCTTGAGAGACATACCAACTTGATCTGGGGAGTAAGACTCAGATAAAGGATTTTGCACTCTGCATATTTATATATACGCATCATTCATTTTTCTCAGTAAATGTATTAAGAATTAGACTATTAACATACAACCTGAGATATCAAAACAAAAACATTTTTCTTTATTTATTTATTTCTATCTATCTATATTTTCTTTCCTAAGATTTTTGCAGGTTAGGGGTTTGTAGCTAGGGAATACATTATGTTGATGAGTGTCTTCACAAAGACAGACGGACCCCTTAATGTGTGCGCTCGGGGTTTGGAGGCGTTCTGTAAAGAAAAAAAATTGCAGATCTTAGCAGAAAGTTCCTTGCTACTGGCAGGTTAACTTGCATAGAGAATGAGCTGTCATTACCATTAGACTGTCAAAGTTAGTGCATAAGCATATTGATATGCAATTTTATAGTTCTGCATGCAGATATATATGAATATGTATTTTAGAAAGCTTGGTTTGGTATTTGAAAGCTTATTCATCTATCCTTCTAAAGAAGGTCATAGAAACTTTAGTCTGTCTCCAGCATTCTATGGGCATTCTATGGAGAGTGGACGGAAATCGGAGTATCCAGAAAGAACCCATGCATGCACTGGAAGAACATGCATGCTTCATGCAAAAGGACCTCAGGCCATAACCTGAACCAAGGAGCTTGATACAAGACATTGGGTCTACAAACGGTGCCACCATGCTGCCATTTGAAAGCTTTCATTAGGGCTATCTATGTTTTAGACAGATTGTTAATAATGTAGTTTTTTTTAATAAGAAGGTACAAAATAATACATGAAAAGTACATTTCATGAAAACAAAGGAAACATGAAGGCTAAAACAGTGTCCTTCATCAAGGAAATTCAGGAGTAAAAAATGAAAACTGACAATGGGAAAAAAAACTGTTATGAGGTGAGCCATGATGGTAGCAGACTAAATAAGGCAAATTGAAAAAATGGTTGAGTAGGTAATTATATTTAGCTAATTAAAAGGCTCTTAATGTTTATCACTTAGACTTCTTAAAGCAGTAGGTAAAGGGTTTTTATGATTTAATTAAGAAAATGACTGATTTTAATACTTTCAGCATCATTGCTGTTTAAAGAAAATATGTCCTCATTAGCAAATAAGAAACATGAAGTTCATTATCAATGGATGAGGCCATTGATAATGGTTTATACTTGTTTCCCATAATTCCGGTTTATCTGTAAGTTATTTTCCAGTGAAAAGGAAACAGAAACAACATCTCATAATCAGCTCTTTTCCTAGATAAAAGGAAAGAAACTTGAAGGCTAAAGCAATTTTTTTCAATGGAATGGTTAATGTCTGATTTGAATACATTTAATGTTTAAAATTATATCAAATTATAAACATTCATTAGTTGTATCCAAATTCTAATTGCATGATCATGATACAAAAAGATCTGTTATTGGCATACGTAACTCTTTAATCACCAAGGACGCTATGTTTACTGGTTTTTAGACCCTTTGTTGTCTTTAGAGTAAAGCATCACTATCTTCTTTTCGAAAAACCAAAATAGTTTTTAACTAGCTTGTTTAACATTTGAGGTTTTTATGATTTAGTACCCCAGAAATCAGATATATAACGTTGTTTATTCTGATATTTCTAACACGGGAATTAAAATATCCACACCACAATAAACCAAAGGGCTCTTTTCTTGTCACTGTTAACAATATTTTTATTCTGCTCTCAAATGTTCTGTTTTAGATCCTCATCCTGGCCATCTGGCATTATTGTTTAAAAAAAGTCATGGCTCCTTCAATAAATTAATAGAAAGATGTGTCACAGATTATGACCTTTAAATTAGTTTACATTTTGAAAGACAGTGATTGAGTACAAATCTGATGGATGTGGTTGCATCTCTTTGAATCAAACTTTAATGCTTAGTGTTTAAAAAGGTAAAAGAAAAGTAGTTTGACTATTGTTCCTGATCTCTAGCTCTCCTGTATGCCATCTCAGAAAAAAAATACTGCTTGTGGAAATACCATTTAAGATTAGAACCGATGAAATAAAACTAACATTCTACTGTGTCTACTGGATGTGTCCCATGTAAACCATTTGAGTCTTGCAATGTTCTGATCATTCGACAAACACCTGAATTACTATTGGTGACAAGAACAGTGGTGATAGTATTTCTTTTTCTAAGGCAGAGTGGGAATTGAGATATCATTCAAACTAACAGCATGCTGACTCAAGTCTCTATTAGTGTTTATGTGCAAGAGGTCAAGGTTTCTATTCCGCTGAGGTTAACTTTGGTCATATATTCTCTATCAAGCACCACATAGAGGTTATTTGGATGATAGTCATAAGGGTACAACAAAGATTAAGAAATATACACTACCATTCAATGGCTTTTCCTAATTTGTTTTACTTTCTACATTGTAGATATACAGTAAAGACATCAAAACTGTAAAGCAAAAGCAGACTTAACAAAACATTTCATATACGGTATATATATATATATATATATATATATATATATATATATATAT